ACCAGGCCTCCTGCAAAATATCAGAGCACTTGTGTTTCTAAACAGGAATTCTGAAAGGAAAAATAAAAAGCTTATGTCTACAGCTGGTACACATATGCAGAAGGAAACCATCTCCAGTAGAGCCAGATCTCTGTTTGGCTTCCAACCTCACAAATGTGGCCATCACCTTTGAACACAAACCTCTGGAATCTACAGAGAAATACTGAGAGAGCCGGGAGGAGTACTAAAGCATGCCGAATACTTCACTTGGGCTTTCCATTTTCCTTAAGATGGCAAGAAATGAGCCAACATTAAAGCACTCTTAACAACTCTAAAATCCCAACTTTCAGTCTGTTTGCCAAAGGTTTTCTTTGAACTGGAGATTTTCTAAGTGTTCCCAGACTGTGTAAAGTCTAACTCATAACATTCAAATATTTAAAAAAACAAAGGGCAAAAGCAAACAGAGAAACAACAAACTTAGAGGAGATCCATGACATCTCATCACATCAGCAATACTCTGTCAAAACAGCATCCCAGGAAACCTCATCCTGGATCCAAGGCAGGGGTCGAAAAATTGAAACTTCATTTCTTGTACTGCAATATCTTGTGTTCCCTGCACTGCTCTGCATCTCTTTACAAAGACAGCCATGCCATGAAAAATAAGAGAGTGGAAAAAGGTAACCTGATTACACAGCTTTTCCACAATTTACTGGAACTAGATGTTCTCTTCTGTAAGATTTAAAAATACAGACTTCCAAAGAGTCCCTCACAGCACAAAAGCTGTTACTCACTGCCCCCATCTCAATTACAACCCCAGTCAGCCCTCTTACTTGTAAACCCAAACCTATCTAGAAATTATCAGCAGACTGATTTCTTGCCATCCTCTGGAGCACCACAAACAGGCCACAGCGTGAACAAGGACACCGGTTGTCATGAAGCACCAGTCATGTCCCCACTCTCCCCTTTCTGTGGCACCCTGAAGTTCAAGGTTTCCAGTCATTGTGCTGGAAAGAAGTCAGGCTGGTAGAGGGTGTCACAGACCATCTTCTGGCTCACAGTAGGATGAGAAACCACAGACTTTCTTGTGCAGCAAAGACTTCTCGTCTGTTACATCATCTTTTAGTCACAGGGGACTGATCTCAACACCACTAGTCATCTTTATGAACCCTGTGCTGACATGGCTGAATGACAACACAAAGTCACCACTCACTGCTGCCACTAAAGGTTTATGTGGAGTGGGCAAGGCACAGACTGCAGCTACATTAACTGTCCTGACCAGCTGGCCATGCTCATGGTTGCAAGGAGAGTCAATTCTCCCAAATACTCAGGGATACTGAGCATGAAAGAGGAACAAGTATCACTTCTGTTCATACCTTGCACCTAATTCCACACCTTGCATCTAATTCCACCCATGTATTACCACCAAGTATGATTTTAATTTACTAACCAGCCTAGACCCCATAAAAAAGTTAAATCAAAATTCAGCTTGGGGATTAAAAGAGGAGTTGATTAACTCATTCAACCCCATGCAAAGCAAGGGAAGATATTTTAGTAACTTTTTCAGCAGTGTAAACTGTCTGGTACACCTCTAGCACCTGGAAGGGGAAGACAGAAACAGTGCCCTGGAATTATGCCCTTGTCTGCAGTTTTGAAAGAGAAAGGGACACTGCCCAGCTACCCACAATACTTCTCATCTTTCATCACACAAGGAACAGAAGAGGAGAGAGATTGTTGCAAGGGTACTTTCTCTTCCATCTGTGCAGCAGTCAGTGTTTTCTGACAAGAAGCAAATACAGCTGCATCAACAACTGCATTTCAGTGCAGTTTCACTAGTGACTTAGGCTAATATAACTTTCTTTTTTTGTCTTCTCCCCTGTGTTAGGCATTATTTTTACCCAGACCAGCAAGCTGATCCAAATGATTCAATCATCCAAGTCAGCAAACAGAGCACAAGGTAGTTCCTTGCTAGTATTTATACAGTTAAACCAGCAGTACCTTTGGGGCCCTCTAATTCCAAATACTTCCAGGTGACATTCCTGGCCAGTAGCATTTGACTTTTGCCATTTATGGAACAGAGAGAGCTAAAACCCAGCAGCTCCTGGTAGACCTTTTCCTCCCACGCCACGATTAGCTGAAATATGTCCCAGAAGCAGATAGCAGCCATGATCCGATTTGTCCCAATCCCAACTCAAGCAGCTTTACACCACCCTCCTAACAAGATCAGCACTGGCCAAACACCATTTATCCAGCCTGATCAAAGATGGATTAGATAATGAAACCCTAACTGCATTAAGCTGTCTGAGCATGCTGGCCTGAGACAGCAGAAAACAAGAAGCCCACGAAATCTAAGGGCTACTCAAAGCTTTCAGGCACCTCCAGCACCAAGGTCTTAATAATTAGCTACTGTCTTATCTTCCTATAGCCTAGTTTTGGTATTTCATGCTAATAGGACCCCAAAAAATCTATCAGTTTTACAGCTACATTAGTAATTCTACAGCTGAATTATTTATTTCAGCATTACACTGTGTTTATATCCTGAGCCACTGGCAGGTACAGGTTATTCAAAGAAGAAACGGTGGTGGGCATGGCATTCCGTGAATCCTTGCTATCAGCCAAGAGACACGAGGTCACCAAGTTTACACAGCAACAACCCGTGGCTCTAGAACAGGAAGTAGAAAATTGACAGGATCTCCAGGAAAAACAAGGTACAACGGTTTCAGGTCTTTTTTCCAGCTTCCAGAAAGCCTCTAGTACATAGGCGAGGGAGGAAAAAAAACCATCAAAGAATAGGATCTTTATTCCTCTTGTAAGCATTACATACAGTTAAACATACAGGATTTACTAAAAAGAAGCTGTTATTCTAAAATAAGGTACTTCAAAAGAAGGCACTATCTGAACAGAAATCCTTATGAAGGGCAATCTTGTGTTTTGTCTTTTAAAGAAAAAGATACCAAATTTCCCAAACATTAAAAAACACATTTTTCCTACCTCTGATGTTATTGGTAAGTTTGGCTTCTGATTTGGTACTTCTTGCTTGCAAACATGAGAGATTCTCCAAATATATAAACTACACCTTTTAAAACTAAAAAACGTCAAGAGAAACTTCTGGACATATAATTACAGAATAGTTTGGTTAGAAAGGACCTTAAAGATCACCTAGTTCAAATGGTGGTATGTATTTACACATATATATGTTTATTTTCATCTTTTATAATAAAAGGATCAAAAAATTTTTCCATATACATGCATAAGGAAAGATTAAATTAAGAATGCCAAATAAGTACAATATGGGTGTCCTAATCTGAAGAACAGCTACAATGACTACAGACACACTAAAAAACTGGGCTCTACTAGTTGCACCTCACCTAATTTCTCCCCTGTTTCCCACTGTTTGGTACTGAAATAAACCCTAGCTTTCTGCTAATCAATTCCACAATCAATCCCTACTATCATGACCACCAGCATTACACACACTGCTTCACACACACACTGCTGTAGCCCCATGGCTGGACACAGCAATCTTACCATCTTGCATTATGCACTGAACAGACAAGACACTTTTTAATGTAAATACAGGGGGGAGTCTTATCTGTAGAGTAATTGTACTAATTTGCAATTAAAAACAAACAAACAAACAAACAAAAAAAAAAAAAAAAATAAAAAATACCCCAGACTTTTGCTAAACCAGCCCAAGTCCATTTCTGGGCAATTTTCAGTTGATTTACCCAGGTTTATATCAAAAACAGACAGTTAAACCACTATATGCAGGGTAAACTGGCGCATCTTCTGTAACTACACGGGATCTCTGCCTCAGTTCAACTCTGAAGAGCTGGAAGAATTTCATGTCACCATGCTCGTGCACTCATTCATAACTCGTAGCAAGACACGCCGTATAAACACTCCGATGCCGAGCATCTTTCTCCTTGCAACTGTACACATTGGCTGAGTCATACCTGACACCTACGTGTGGGAGAACACACTACTTCAGGGGATAAAAGAGCACTGCACGATTTCCACTGGCTCCTGGGAGAGCACAAGCAGCAGCACTTGGGTACGAAGCTCCAGCAAGCGCTCAGGCCACACCACCACACTTGGGAAAACCTGATGCTGCGGGGTGGAGAGACCACCCTGAAAGGCTGAACATCAGACAGAACTGCAAACAAAACCTTCCTGCCGCAAGCTGCTTAAAAAAATAAATAATTCTTGAGCATGAAAACTGGGGACAGCCTGGGAAACAAAAAGAGAAAAGTGCTGGCCAGCATTTGGCATCTTGATGAGAAGCACTATGGAAAGAATACGATGCTCCCTTTGGAAAGCCAGGAGCACTTACCAACGCAAGAAAAGGTGAAAAGAGAAACAAGCTCAGATTAATAAATCACGCTGCTTCCAAAGAGCTCTGATATTCTCATCACGAGAAGCAGAAAAGGCCAGTGCGACTGCCATAATAAAACAGCCCTCCACAACACCCAGACAAAGGGAGGCAGAAACACCTTGGCAGCATCACCCCGCAAACACAAAGGCCAACGCACCTGAAACAAGCGATGTTTTGGGGACAATCAAACCGCGCTGGCAGGAGACGACAGTAACGTGGGACTCTGAACCAACCTAGAAGACGCCCCACTACTCGGCTTCCCCCCTTCCCAAGCAGCACCTGGGATTTCTCTCGTGGCGTACAAGCCCCAAGCGCCGCGGGTAAATCCCGCCGGGCCCGGAGCGCTGCCAGTGCCCCGCACCCGACCCCGCGGCCTCCCCGAGCTGCCCGGCGGTGCCCGGAGCGCCGGACCCGCCGGGGCTCCGCCAGGGCCCCACGCCGCCGCCCCACGTGCTGGGCTGCGCCCCCGGGAGCCGCCGGGCTCGGCCCGGGGAGCCCGAGGGGAGCCGCGCTCGCCGGGCTGCCCGCGGGGAAAGGGCCGCACGGCCGAGCGCAACGCGCCGAACCCCGCAAACAGAAATCAAATGCGGCCCGGCCCGGCCGAGCCCCGGGGAGGGAGAACCGGGGACGGCCCGGCCCTGCCCGCTACCTGCATGCCGCCGCCGTCGGCCTCCGCCTCCGTCCGCAGCCGCTTGCTGTGGCCGCCCTCCGCGCCGTCCCCGCCGGGCATGGGCTGCTCCAGCTCCGGCTCCCGCTTCACGCCGCGGGCGGACCCCGCGCCGCCGCCGGCCAGGAGCTGCGGCTGTGGCTGCTGCTGCTGCGGGGGCTGGCCGCCCTCCGCCATCCGCGCCGCCGGAGCCCCGGCCGCCCCCCGCCCCGATCGCCCCGCTCTGTCACCGCGGCGCCCGGCGCTGCCGGAGGAGCGGGAGCAGTGGGAACAGCGGGAGGAGCAGGAGGAGGGCGGCGAGCCCCGCGCCGCGACCGGAGCAGCAGCGGGCGCGCCGGGCTCCGACCCACCGGAGCGCCTCGGTCACGGGCTCGGCAGCGGCTGGGGAGGGGCCGGAGCCCCTCGGCAATCTCCGGAAACGGCGCCGGAGCAGCGCGACCCCCGCTCGGAAACCTTCGGCGGCGGCGGCGGCGCGCTGCGCCCAGCCCGCCGCGGGTCGGGCCGCGACCGCCCTCTGGGGGCCCGCGGTGGGTGCGGGACCCCCGGCGGGGCTGCGGCGGTCACGTTGGCCGTAGGAGTGCGGGACACCCAGCCCCGGGCACAGCCGGGTCCCCCGTCACGGGCCGACTTGATCCCGGCCCCGCTGGCGCAGTTGCCTTTCGGCCTGAGGTTTCCGCAGCGCTTCCATGGAACTGAGGCGAATGTGGGGTGATGGGTACTGGCTCGACCCCCCGCTTTAGGAGGATCCAGCAGCAGGGATGTGCTGCCCAGCCCCGTATCCCTGCTCGGCGCAGCCTCGCATCGCCCGGTGCATTGTGCTCTTTCCCGCCTTTCCTCGGCCTCCGCCCTGCGCCTCACTCCAGAGCTCACCTCGCAGCCCCAGAGCACATCTGGTTTCTTGAGAAAGGGGCTGCGCTGGTTTCCTGTCCCTAATGGCCTCCGTGGGTTTCTCCTGCACTTACATACATATAAATAGATCTCCCCATTTTTTCTCCTGCATATGACTTCCAACCAGATGGAGACACCAGTCTGCGAGAACCCAAAGCCTGTTCATCAGCCCTTTTGTGTATCTCCATGTTTTTGATCTTAAGGAACAAATTTGGGATCCTGAACCAAAACATAATGTTGATTTTATTATTCAGCTGCTGTCTAGTAGCACTAAGGACAATATCTGCTCTAGAATGAGGAAGGCATAGGCAGCCTGCGTTGTCCTGAACGTAGTCTGGAAGCCATGGCAACTTGATGGAGAACTAATCCGCAGATCATAATACAAATCTCTGGTTGTCTTGATTATGGGATGGGAATGACACTCCTGCCTGCCAACAATTTGGAGAAAAAGGAAGAAGCTAAAAATGGAGTTGGTCAGTGTGAGGAAGCATTTCTTGACTTCTCGAATATCACCATGTGTAACAAAGCCTGGGGACCAGTTAGATTATCTTAGTGTTCCATATCCCCTGTATATGCTACATCTGTTGATCCTCATGAAATTATAGAGCCTTTAGTTTTGAGTGACAGTTACCATACATGACTCCAGTCTTCCCTTACACCACATTTTTCCTCATCCAAAAATAGTTTTCAAGGCCACATTGAAAGCTATTTTAAGTGGTATGTTTTCTGCTGAGGTGCCAGCTTGTCTCCTCCAGTGACAGGGGAAATCTCTTTTCTTCAAAATGATTGTAAATCCCCACGGAGTGGCAGGCACCCAGAAGACAATTACATGCAGCTTTTGTCTGCTCACCCACCAAGGGTAAACACATGTCTCATTCATCTTGACTGGGTTTGGTAAAATGAGCCAGACTGTCAAACAACACTGAAGGAACGTGTGCCGTCCATTCTTGGCTTGGAAAGAAGCTGAAATTCTCATGACTGGGATGCTGCTCATACAGAGAAAACCAGTGTTTCTGTATTTCTCTTTCCCCCCTTGCTTTTGACAAGGGATTCCACATGAATGGTCCAGTTTAAGGTATTGCCTGTGAGGAGCTGCAGAAGGCTTCAACCTTCAGACAAGTTAGGGGTAAACAGTTTGGAGAGAAATCTTGGGAGCACTCCTCTCACTGTGGTAATTGAGACACTTCCCTTGGGGATATCAAAGAAAGGAGTTGCCTTATGGTGCCCAGCTTCCATTTTTCTCTTCTCCTTCTCCTAACCCCATTTCCACCATCTCCTGCCATGCAGGTGCCAAAGCTGCTGCCAGTTCTCCCTTGCATCCTGTGTGCACATGGTCTGTGCTGCAGAGCAGCTCCTGGCAGAGCTGGCAGTGCCATGGGCACATCCCTTGGTGAGGCATTTCCCGCTGGCTATGGTATGCAGCCTGCCAGGGCAGCACCCTGAGCTATGGTGCAGGGGAAAAGAGCTGAGGGGGGTCCTGTGCCCTCCCACCAAAGTGACCTGCAGCTGCCACCACCACGCTCTGTGCCTTTGTGAGCTTTCTGACACTACTGCATACTGCATTTATCCAGATCTTTCCATTTCCTCTTAAAATAAGATTAATTAATTTATCTTCATGGTATGTTTGTGGGATAGGTATTATCTGCATTTAACAGATGGGATATGAGGCATTCCCGAAGTCACAAAAAAGCTTTTGAGCTGAGACACAATCTTAATCCGTTGATTTCCTTTCACACAACCCAGCTGCCTTTTAGGTATTTGTATGTGACATCTAAGACATACTAAATAGACAGCTGACTCCTCTGTTAACCCTTCCACTGCTGCACAGCACTCTTGCCAAAGGCTCCAGTGTGCTGTGATTTCATGGGCAAGTTTGCAGAGCGCTCACCAACGCTTTGTCTTGGACAGATCAAAGAGAGGCAATCCTAAGATTTGTTATCCTTGCAGAAAGCTCCCAGAAGCTCTCTGGCATGTAGAGTATATCTTTCCTGAACAGATTCATACAATTTTAGAAATTGTGGTGGTTTCCTCCCCTCAGAACGATACTTTCTGAAGAGATTCCCTGGAGAAACATGCTGGTGCTCCCACTGGGCTGGAAATCAGGTGATATCAGGAAGCCGGGTGTGAAACATCTATGGAAGTACAGAGGGCTGGGTCCCAGAAGGTGCTTGAATGGAGCAGAGGCAGTGACTCATGAAGGTTCTAAGGCACAGCATGAAGAGAGGTACAAACTCAGTTATTAGCCTTTGGCTCAAAGGCCTAGAAGTCATTCAGAGACACTTCAAAGCAAATGTCTTCACCACCACACCTGAGAACTGTTTCTTGCTGCTTCCATCATCTACATGCCATGCCTCACCCTGCTGACCAGCTCCCTCTTGCCCTTTCGGCCTGCAGCAGCTTTGTTCCTCTCCTTCAGGGAGGATTTTGTCTCTCTGCTAAGTGGGTCAGGTGGGGTCTAGCACCTTGCCCAACCCTGCTCATTCCTGCTGTTTCTGTCGAGTCAGACAAACCTCTGAAGCAAATGCTCTTCCTCCTCACAGCAGTGCTCCCACAGGTGATGAAGTGCCGCCAAGGTAAAGTTTCAGCCTGGACTTTGATCCTGGTTTCGCAGGAAGCAGCGATGGAGCTTTCCGTAGTAACTACTGTGGGTAAATGTTTCTTCTTCCTTATCTCAGGCCAGGAATTTGCTACAAAATTTTACCAGCAGAAGCTGCCTTTTCTTGCAACCAATTAGCACACAGCTAAAAATACATAACCTAAGTCAGCAAAATCCAAAGACCTTGTCACCTGGCCCAAACCGTGTGCCAGGAGGATGCCAGTGCCCAAGCAGCGGCACGATGCCAACATCAATATGTCGCTGTGACGCAAAGGTGCTGGCAGCTGTCACTCACTGGGCCAGCACCCACAAAGCACCCGCTCTTTTCCCAGTGCCACCTCTTGCAATGAGGACACCTGGCTTCAGGAAACGCCTCCAAGCACCTCGGCACTCCAGCAAGGCAGCAGTGTCAGCAGCTGGGAATCCACCAGAGAGCTCAGAGCAAAACCTTCCTGACTCATTTTCCTGTTTCCTGCTAACATCACTGCAGCGATTTATGGTTGCTGTTTGCTTGGTCTGTGGTTCTTGGGACATCAGGATGTACAGCAGGTGTGGCACTTCAGGTGTCCCAATGCTGCTAAAGCAGGATGGCACCTGCAGCACAGATGCAGTTACCTGCATGGATGCAATTAGCATAAAAATGCCATCTGCCTGCATTGCTTATGCCTGGGGGATGGGGAATAAAGTAAGTCCTTCAGCACTTCCAACATGAAATGGCATCCCTCTATATCCTAAAAACGTGCGATAGCAGAAAGGTGTGTGAAGAGCACATCTGGGAGATGAAAGGTCTCTTGTTTTCCTGTTGAGATGGCAGGGCTGACTGGATAAATAAGACCGAGATAATGACCAACACAAACAGTGTGCGCCACAGAGGTACCACAGGGTACCTCCCTTCAAATACCTGGCACTTATTCCCCTTGGCTGCCTGTCGTGAGTGAACCAGAGGTTGCTGAAGGCTGGAGTCCACATCAAGGGGCCAGCAGTGGCTGCTGTGGATGCAGTCCTCCAGCGGCCTGGCTGCACATCTCTGGGGTGCCCCTGAAGCACCTCAGGGCTGTGCCACCCTCTCCTCTCTCAGACACGAGTCTGTAGCAGCCTGACACACTCAGCTTACAGGGCACACAGACAAAGAGAGAATACCAATCATTATTTGCAACTGTGCATTTCCAAATGGGCTGGAGGCCGCGCAGCTTGAGAAGGGCAAATGCCCCGCTGGAGGCAACATTCATTCCTGGTGTAACAGGCAGATAGAGCAAAGGACAAAGCAAAACATTCTCTGTGGTGGCTGGGCACATCCTGGAACGGAATGGGGGGGCGGGGGGCGGGCTTATCACGGAACTCCTGTTCCTTTTCAGTGCAGCACCCTGTTTTTATAGGGCCCTTTAGCTACAACTCAATTTACTACATGGCTGATCTCTGGAGCTGAGGCTGATTCTTGCTCCCTAATTGGTTTATTGAAAAGCTTCTGAAAGTGCACTCTTACAGACAAAATGCCAAATTGAGCTGGTCCTTAACAGGACTCACCGTGCAAGAGGAGTCGTCTCCCAGCACAGAGAATAGCTTGCAGATATTTTCTGCAGCGATCTCGGTATCACCTTTCACTTCTGTGACTGATTCAGGGATAAAGAAAGGGCGTGTGGTTGAAGCTGGCCCACACCCTGATGTTTCCCAGCTGTTCAAGCCTTCCCTTGAGACATCCGCCATCTGTGCAAATTACAACAGCATGAATTACGCCTCGGGATCCAAGCCACAGAAGTGTTTCCAGGATTGCTCCAGTTTTTCACTGCTCCAAACATTTTGCAGGTCCTTCCTCTGCTGCTGCTAAAGTTTTAGCTCTTTGTGTCTGCCACACTCACAGTTTTCCAGTTCCATTGCTTATATTTTCCTTGGTCAACTTCCAGCTGAAATTTCCACGTGTCCCGTCTCCCGTACTTACTCAACTTTCCAGACCACAGCACATCCATTATAGATGACTCCACCTGC